TGTTGCTACCATGCTGTTGTCATGTTGTGTTGCTACCATGCTGTTGTCATGTTGTGTTGCTACCATGCTGTTGTCATGTGTGTTGCTACCATGCTGTTGTCATGTTGTGTTGCTACCATGGTGTCTGTCCATGTGTGTTGGCTACCATGCTGTTGTCATGTTGTGTTGCTACCATGCTGTTGTCATGTGTGTTGCTACCATGCTGTTGTCATGTGTGTTGCTACCATGCTGTGTTGTCATGTTGTGTTGCTACCATGCTGTTGTCATGTTGTGTTGCTACCATGCTGTTGTCATGTTGTGTTGCTACCATTTGTTGTGTTGTCATGTGTTGTCAGTGTGTGACATGTTTGCATGTGTTGCTACCATGCTGTTGTCATGTTGTGTTGCTACCATGCTGTTGTCATGTGTTGCTACCATGCTGTTGTCATGTTGTGTTGCTACCATGCTGTTGTCATGTTGTGTTGCTACCATGCTGTTGTCATGTTGTGTTGCTACCATGCTGTTGTCATGTTGTGTTGCTACCATGCTGTTGTCATGTTGTGTTGCTACCATGCTGTTTGTCATGTTGTTGTTGCTACCATGCTGTTGTCATGTTGTGTTGCTACCATGCTGTTGTCATGTGTTGCTACCATGCTGTTGTCATGTGTTGCTACCATGCTGTTGTCATGTGTTGCTACCATGCTGTTGTCATGTTGTGTTGCTACCATGCTGTTGTCATGTTGTGTTGCTACCATGCTGTTGTCATGTGTTGTTGCTACCATGCTGTTGTCATGTGTGTTGCTACCATGCTGTTGTCATGTGTGCTCCATGCTGTTGTCATGTTGTTGTCTACCATGCTGTTGTCATGTTGTGTTGCTACCATGCTGTTGTCATGTTGTGTTGCTACCATGCTGTTGTCATGTGTTGCTACCATGCTGTTGTCATGTTGTGTTGCTACCATGCTGTTGTCATGTTGTGTTGCTACCATGCTGTTGTCATGTTGTGTTGCTACCATGCTGTTGTCATGTTGTGTTGCTACCATGCTGTTGTCATGTGTTGCTGCCATGCTGTGTTGTTGTCTTAGGTCTCTCTTTATATAGTGTTGTGGTGTCGTGATGTGTGTTTATTTTTAATCCCTGTCCCTGTAGGAAGCCTTTTGCCTCTTGGTAGGCCGTCATTGTAAATAAGAAATTGTTCTTAACTGACTTGCCCAGATAAATAAAGGTTAAATAAAATAAAATAAAAATGTATTTGAACTATTCTAGAGCTTAATGAAACTGACGTTAACATGCTGCTTTAGCTTCCTCCACTGTCCAACTGCCCCATACTGGGCTCCAACCAGTGATCCTCTGATCACAAACACAAGTAACCGTACTCCTTGACAACGTACCAAGAATTTGAGCCACCCAAAAGGTACCTCTTGGATGGCTCCACCCGTGACAGTTCGAGCTCTGTGGAGTGAGTTCATGGCACATTCTGAACTCTGCTTCACTAGCACACCTGGTTACACTGGTCAACTAATTGTCAAGCCCCTGAATAGGTGAATCAGGTAAGCTAGTTCAGGGATACAACAACATTGTGAAAGGTCTTGGGGTCCCCAAATAGAGGTTGAGCTAAATAGATCAATCTAAATAAATCTCTCAATAATCATAAAAAATGTGTACCCTAAACCAGGGGTCTTCAACCTTTTCTTGCCCAGGGACCCTCTCCTAACCCTAACACTCCCAGGCAATGGGAGCTCTCCCAGGCAAACCAGTGGTCCAGGCACCCCCTCCCAGGCAAACCAGTGGTCCAGGCACCCCCTCCCAGGCAAACCAGTGGCCCAGGGACCCTCTCCCAGGCAAACCAGTGGCCCAGGGACCCCCTCCCAGGCAAACCAGTGGCCCAGGGACCCCCTCCCAGGCAAACCAGTGGTCCAGGCACCCCCTCCCAGGCAAACCAGTGGCCCAGGGACCCCCTCCCAGGCAAACCAGTGGTCCAGGCACCCCCTCCCAGGCAAACCAGTGGCCCAGTGATCCTCTCCCAGGCAAACCAGTGGCCCAGGGACCCTCTCCCAGGCAAACCAGTGGCCCAGGCACCCCCTCCCAGGCAAACCAGTGGCCCAGGCACCCCCTCCCAGGCAAACCAGTGGTCCAGGCACCCCCTCCCAGGCAAACCAGTGGTCCAGGCACCCCCTCCCAGGCAAACCAGTGGCCCAGGGACCCCCTCCCAGGCAAACCAGTGGTCCAGGCACCCCCTCCCAGGCAAACCAGTGGTCCAGGCACCCCCTCCCAGGCAAACCAAATCATCTTTATAAGGAGAGAAATCACACCAAATCATATTTATAACGAGAGAAATCACACCAAATCATCTTTATAACAAGAGAAATCACACCAAATCATCTTTATAAGGAGAGAAATCACACCAAATCATATTTATAACGAGAGAAATCACACCAAATCATCTTTATAACAAGAGAAATCACACCAAATCATCTTTATAAGGAGAGAAATCACACCAAATCATATTTATAACGAGAGAA